ATGTAATTGAAGTAGACGATAGAATTGGTGATGAAGATCACCAAGATGTTTACCAGTGAGATCCATATTCTTCCCTGAGTATGCTGCTTTGAAGTAGGTTCAAATGATGTAATGGTTGAGCATGCTCAAGACTGGGATTTAGGAGTTTTTGTCACTCAACAGTATTGTTCCCTTTCACAGCTACAATCATTTGCCCTTAAATTCCCGATCCGTAGGATAGAGAAGCCATACTTGTGGAAAGTTCGACAAGGTGCATGATGATGTATGCCATTTAGTAACCAAGTGCCACAAATATGGCATACATGGCCCCTATTCTAAAGGTTATCATCAACTGCAGCAGCCCCGCAGCACTACACCTATAACACCTGTTTTCCATAATAGGTCAGCTAAAGATTTAATGGGATCAAAGATGGAGATTTTGGAGAAAGCATTTGTGCAGCGATGTGGGGCATGGGTGACCACGACATGGAATGGATTTAATGAAACACGCATTTCTAGTGAGCACCATGACGTGGTAAAAGGGTCACCACAACGTGGTGGCTGTTGCAGCTCAAGCCCATGGTTTCTTAGGGTTTCTTCCATATTTAAAGCCTTTAAATTCAATATTAGGGCAGCCTTCTCAGCCTCTAACCTTCCTAAACGAAACCCTAACCTCCTTTATGATTCTTGATGTATTCTTGGTGTTCTTGTAGTTTGAAGCCTTGGTTTGCACTTTGAGAAGAGGATGAAGGTGTGCTTGCTAGTTAGAATAATGTATTTACTTTAGATCTTGCATCTCTTGCATCTTGTGGAGCTTGGGAAGGTAAAGAGCTTCCACCTTGATCATCCTATTCTTTTCTTTCATGCCATGAAGTCCCTTAAAGAAGTGTTCTTGGAGTTTTATGCAACTCCATAACCTTAAGCTTGTTTAGTGACCATTTTTTTGCCCTAGGTGATGGAAAAAGTGTTAAGTCTTGGTCCCTTTGCTCCATGCACAAGTTGAGGTCATATTAAGGGGTTTATGGACTTAGGGTTTAAGATTTTGTCTTGTGGTGAGGTCCTAATGGATAAAGTTGAAACTTTATCCATTAAGTCATTAATAAGAATCAAACATGTAAGTACGAGATTTGATATGTAAGGATTAATCTCTTCATAGAAAATTGTTATGTCTGTTGGAGACCATGATATGGCCAAGGTGTAACCACAATGAGGTGGATTCCAGTCTCACAATTGTTTCGTTTGAACATTCCCACAACATGGATAAGGAGGGTCCACGATGTGGCGATGCCCTACATGTCGTCTATTTTGTCATGTCGTGTCCACGACGTGTCCAATAGGTCTCCACATTGTAGTGGCTATTGACTTGGTTGACTGTTGACTTTCATTGACCATTGATTTTTGACCAATTTGACTTGGGTTCAAAATTGGAGGATTTATCCCTTTTGGTATTAGTTGGTTCGTGGGATTGAGCAGCGTAAGGTGTGAGGGTGTTGTTGTGCTTCTTTGGGTCTTCAGTCATGTGAGTTTCTCACTATGCCACATATCATATTGTATATCTTTTGCATTGTAAGATAGATGTACTGTTAGAGTACAAATATGAAAGTTGGCTAGGATAACTCCTTATTATGCATGCGTAGTTTAGGACACTTGGTGTCTTGGTATGATAGACTAGTAATGTTTTGCTTGCTGATTTTATGATAATGTTAGGAGTTATGTTTAGTTAGGGTAAGTGGGGTTGGCCGGTTATCTGGATTATGTATGATTGAACAACAGAGGACTTTATTGAAAATTGGTTAATGGTAGGGTAACAAGGGAATGCTAGTTGCTAAGGGTATGTATATGTTAGTATATGTTATGTGTTTATGTTACATGGTTAGTTGATAACGATATATTGGGTTCTATGTAGTTTAAGTTGGATAGCCAAAGATGTTGTAACACTTGAATTTTAGGTATGTTCTTTAAGCCCCTTTATATTTATTTTATTGCAAGTTGGTCCGTGGAGTAGTACGCGGGGCGTACCACATGGTACGCTTAGCGTACTAGCTGAGAATCTAGTACGCAAGGCATACAACATGGTATGCTTAGCGTACTAATAAGGGAAGTGATTGTGGGTGCGAGGCCTTGTACACTCGATGTACGAGGATTAAGCTTAGCGTATGTGGAGATTAAGAAACGCTAACTTTAGGGTGTTGCACCCTATATAAAGTCCTTAAGTCCCTACGGTTGGCCTCTTTACCAGCCTCCATTGCCCTAAAACCCAAAATCTCGACCCTTATCCTCCATTGTTGTGTCTTTGAGATTTTGAGAAGAAGTTGGCCTTTAGTTTTCTCATTTGAAGGGGTTAAAGAATATTGAAGGTGTATTGCTTTGTGGGAAGCTTAGAGATCTAGAATCCTCACTCATTTTGCAAGGCTTTTGACGTATCAAGTTCATACCTTGTCTTCTCCTTGATTAGATCTCTTCATGTCTTGGTTTGTTATGCGTTTGGTCCTTTTTAGGTTAACTTGATGGATTAAGTCGTTTGTGGGGCTTATTCTTTTAGATCTGAACATATTATGAGTTTTTTAGGCATAAAGTTAGCAACTTTATGGTGTTTATGGCCTCATGCATGCATTAAGTCATCCATTAAGTCCTTTTGAGCGTTAAGAGATTCATTAAGCCATGCATGCACGTAAAGTTAGCAACTTTATGTGATAAATCAGTCCAAGGAAGTCAAATCTAGGTTTTGGAGTAAAGTATTTATGGATTAAGAGCTAGAAATGAAAGATTGTTAAATGAGGGAGTACACTGGGCGTACAAGTAGGTACGCTTAGCGTACAAACCCTCAAGCGAGTACATTGTGCATACATGCTGAGTACTCCTTGGGGTACTCAATCAGTTGGGTTTCGGATATTTTGGGCTTCTATTTGGGCCATTCTTTTAGTCTTAGATGTTGAGGGCTCTGTTGTGCCATATGATTGCAAGTGTTTTGGCCTAGGAATAGTTTTGGACCTTGGGGTAAGGCCCATGAAAGGGTTTTGCCCAATTTGGAAAATTAGGCTATGTTTGGGCCTTGTATGATTAATTTTTACTGGGCCTTTTGGATTGTTGGTTTGGGCTATGTCTTGGACCAAACTAGGTAAAGCATAAAATGGTCTTTCTACCCTAACTTTGGACTAATGTTTATGGATTGGAATCCAATTATTAATTGGATGTTATTTGGTATTGATAGCTCGAGGATTTGTCAGCCAGCAGTCATAGATTTATTCGTGTCATTCAGTAGTTCAAGGGGAGTTTCCTCACTAAGTTTAGCTGGTCGAAGGCACCAATACTGACCCATGATCTTTTATGTTAGAATACTCGTTGTCTTGTGACGCCTATATGTATATGTGCTTGTACGCTTACTGGGCAGGGCCCGATGGTTATTTTGTATGCTATTAACTGTTATGCTTATATGAATTGTATGTGGGTGGGGCACATTATGTGTTTATTATGTATGGTATGTGGTATTCTGGTGAACTTGCTAAGCTTTGCCATCCAAAATCCATCCTCATCTATCTATTTGACCGGGCAAAATAACAATTTTTAACAAGTTTAAAAGTTGTTGATATTATGTATTTTTTGTCCCATTTCTGATTGGTCTTCTCGACCCTCACAAATAACCATCTTGAATAATTATATTCGGCACCCGAGCATGAGGTTGTTTCTCAAGGCAAAATAGGAGAGTGGATGTTTGTGAAAGAGGCAGTTAACCCACCAACGATCATTCCAAAAAACTTGTATTTAAGCCATTTCCCACTTTCTTAACAATATGAGGTTTCAATATTCACCCGAACTAAATTTTGATCTTTAATAGAATTGAAGATACTTTGCCATTGGAAGTTAAGTGTAGAAGAGTTGTTGGTCGAAAAACCTTCTCCTTACCATAGATTGCTTTTGTGTGTGGAAGAGTTGTTTGGTTGAACAATTTATAATTTAGTAGGTTTAACTTTTCTATTTTTTCAGTCATTTTACATGTATAAACTGTGAAATCGTTTTAAAAAAATAATTTTTTATTTATTAAAATTTTTCACTAAAAAACTAAACTAAATACTCTTATTATCAAATAAGTTATCTTGCCTTAAAAACAGTGAAAATAAATCTCAAATACCCTCCTAATAGTTACTGAGCTTAACTAACGAAAGCATGGATAGCCTTAAATATCCAAACTACATCGGTTAATTTATTTGGGATTTATTATGAGAGCACTTACAACAAAAACAAAGTTAAAAAAGGATGATCATATTTGGGATCATGTGGATGGCCATGGATGCCGATAACATGCATACATATTGTGTAATAAGTTGCAGAGAGAGAATTGAGCTGCTTACCGTCAACAAAAAGAAAAAAGACTGAGCCACCGCTTACTAACCACCATTCAGGAGCATACGCATGGCTTCTAGCGTACAATCCGGGGTGCATAAGTAGTGGAGAAAAACTATAACCTAAACCAGCCCCTGGTTTTCTGTCTGGTTTTCTCTCTCTCTCTCTCTCTCTCTCTCTCTCTCTCTCTCCAAAGAGAAGAACCAAACAAAGATGCAAAGGATTTTTGAACTTATCTTTTACCCACTTTCATAGAACATAGAAATTTCAAATATTTTCTCACATACCAACAATTTTGCTTCATCTAATCGATCTCCGGTGGGTTCTCCATTTTTTCCGTCGACCTCTGTTCTTCCAGTGGTTCAGTTCTTCCCCTCTTTTAGTCTGTAAATCCAAATCCCATTTGGTGATAGATTCTGGGCTTTTTCTGGGGTTTGGTTATGATTGTTAATTCGGCTATCAAATGTGTATGATAACGATGTATGTGTGTGTAAATTAATATCTTATTATATATATTCTATATAGATATAGCAAGTTGGAATTTATTTAAGTTTTAATCTTAAAAACCCAGATGTTTTATGTTGTTTCTATAGTATCATCAAGTACAGTTTATGATACTTTCACCACCTTCTCTCTCTCTCTCTCTAAAAGTATCAAGATCCAGTGAAATTTGAAAGGCCATGTATCCGAAACTAGAAAAAGTCGATGTTATGGATGTTTGTGGTGTTGATGAGCAAGAAAGCCGTAAAAGTACTGGTTTTGATGCAGTGGGTACTACTGTGATGACGAGTACCGATGATCAGAGAGGGATCTGGGAGATTGATGTAAGAGCACAGCAACAGAATCTGCTTCACGAAATGAATGATCCTTCAATGTTTTATAACGATCAGTTTCCAAAGATTCCTGATTTTCCATGCATGTCTTCTTCTTCCTCTTCTTCGTCAAATCCTGCACCTGCTAAGCCGATTTCTTCGGCCACTACTACATCGTCGGCGTCCTCATCTACCTCGTCGGCAGCGTCTTGGGCGGTGTTGAAGTCTGAGTATATCACGGAGGAGGAGGCTGAAGGAGAGGATCAGTTGGAGGAGCTTAGGATTAACAGGAAAAAACGAAGTCATCGGCAGGAACCGGGTCCCGTTACGTCGACGGCAGCGGTTGAAGCGGTTCCTGTTCTGGAAATGGCGGATGGAAGCGGTACGATAGATTGCATGGATGTGATGGAGAATTTTGGGTACATGGATTTGATTGATGGCAACGATATATGGGATCCATCATCAATTTTCGAACAAAACCCACCGGATTTACAGCAGGAATGTGTGACGACTCGTGGATATAGCAATGGAAGTGAGGTGGTACAAGATAGTGAGATTAAAGACGGCGGCCGTGAAGGTGGCGGAGGACGATTGGATGAACTAGGGGTGATGTTCTTTGACTGGTTGAAATCGAACAAAGAATTCATATCAGCAGAAGATATGAGAAATATTAAACTCAAGAAATCGACAGTTGAATGTGCTTCAAAAAGATTAGGATCGTCAAAAGAAGGCAAAAAACAACTCCTCAAATTAATTCTTGAATGGGTGCAACAACACCAGCTTCAAAGAAAAAACAGCGGCGGTGCCGGTGAATTAGCCGCTGCCGCCGCCGCCACCACCACCCAATACCCTTTACAGCATTACCAGGGACGTCCACCACCACCACCACCACCGACCCCACCGCCACCATTCAACTGTAATTCTTGGGTCCCACCTAGTGACATGAACCATGGATTCTCTCCTTCTCCGTGGATCCCACCAGCGGTGGCGTATCCGTCGTACATGGCGGATCAGGCGAGTAATGGGATGGCTATGGTAGCGGCGGGGCCACAAGCGACGTTTTCTTACATGGGTGATGGGAGCGATCAATACAATTCTGGTCTGAATCGTCTTAATCCGTATAATAATTCAGGTTCGGGTGAATATCAAGTTCTTGAATCTGCACCTTCGTGGAACCCTTCACAGATTACCATGGCTGCGTCGACACCCTACAACAATCAGTTTCCTGACGTGGGCAATAACTATGGTCCTCAAATTATGCCTCTCGCTTCTGGTTACCCCGATCAGTACCCGTATAACCCACAGGTTTTTGCCACCGGCGGTTGTGGCGAACAACAGCGGTTAATGAGGCTGGGTTCTTCGGCGACTAAAGAAGCTAGAAAGAAAAGAATGGCTAGACAGCGGCGGACTTACTTCCACCACCACCACCAGTCGAGACAAAATCAGCACATGAATAATCATCAGAATCACTTGGCCAACTCCGATCACCATCCACACGCAATGCTTGTTGATGAGAATTGCTCCGACAAAACACATGGAGGAAACTGGTTGTACTGGCCATCTCCGCCTTCTACCAACACGGTTCCACCACCACCTATGGAATCACCTCACCGGCCACCCGCCAGTGATCGCCCGCCTAAACAAACTCCCCCAGATAAACGGCAGGTATGCAAATATTGTAAAATTTTAAATAATTCTCGATCGATATTTTAGTAGTGATTATAATTTGATTTTTCATTTGTTTATTTTGATCATCAGGGTTTAAAAACTGAGAAAAATTTGAAGTTTCTGCTCCAAAAAGTGTTGAAGCAAAGTGATGTTGGGAGTCTTGGGAGGATTGTGCTGCCTAAGGTATTGATTTTTTATGCTTTAATTTCTCCTTTCAATCAGATTTAATTTTAATGTGCTTAGTTATTGATCCGAATCGAATTCAATTTACAGAAAGAAGCTGAGAGTCACCTCCCGGATCTGGATTCAAGGGACGGAATTTCAATTGCTATGGAGGATATAGGGACTTCTCAAGTGTGGAACATGCGATATAGGTATATTACGTTGTTAAATTAAATCCCTTTAATTAATACTACCTATTTGGGTTTTCATCAATTAATATTAATACCCAATTCCAATTCTCATTACTCAAATTAAGCATCATACTAAGTTTGGTTCTGGCTTTGTGTGTTTTCTCTTTGAATTGTGGAGCCTCAGGTTTTGGCCTAACAACAAGAGCCGGATGTACCTTCTCGAGAACACAGGTCAGCGAAGTGTTGGCTAATATTGGAATACGTTTGTTACAATATGCTATTTATAGCTCTTTTCATACATCACACAGGAAATATTGCAAATAAAAAAAATATATTCCCTTAGGTGCCCTTTTTGTCAATAAGTAGCAGTAGAAGCCAAATTATTAACTAAGGTTGTGGAATAAATAGGACCGGGCCCATCTTTATTTTTTTAACCGGTCTGTTGATTAGACCGGATTTTTTTGGCTTGGTGTGTGTCGCTCATGTCCATATATCAAAGTAATAAAAAGGTTGCTTTAGAGATCTAACAAAATGATGCAACGATGTTTCTAAAGGACGGGCTCCTTGATAAAAGCCAGGGTTAACAAGACATTTATGTATCTTGTTTTTTTTCTTCTAAACCTTCGTTTTATGATTCAGGAGATTTCGTGAAAGCAAATGGACTCCAAGAAGGCGATTTCATCGTGCTATACTCTGATATCAAGTGTGGCAAATACGTAAGATCTAAATCATTATGTTTCTTCTGGATACATTTTCTCGTTTCCATAAGACCCTACAAATCACATCCCGAACCCTTTGATGTTTACATGTATATGGTCATCTTTTAGGCCCTGTTTGTTAAACTAGATAGGACAAAACAAATTGTAATTAATGTATTTATAATAATAATAATAATAATAATAATAATAAATTTAAAAAAAAAAAAAAAAAGTAGTCTGTTTATGGTCTTAACATAATTGACATTATTGTGTGTGCAGTTAATCAGGGGAGTGAAGGTACGACAACCAGTCAGTGTGAAATCCGAAGGCAAGAAGCCTTCTGTTAAACGAAGCTATCGCAGTGCCTCCCAATCCACCAGAAGCTGTGATCCCTCATCTCCTCCTAAAATAACTGCGATTTAAGTACTACTAACATCGTCGTTATCATCAAACCGACGTAAAACGTCTGTTCCTTTTGCAGTTAAATATGATTCGCTGACAACCCTCATTAAGCTGAGGATTGATGTTGTGTCGAGGTTATAAGATTGGATGTTTTCAATCTTTTGATGTGTTGTTTTAGGGTTTGGTATGCCTGTGACCACTCTCTAGATCTCTAGATAAGTGTCCTTACGTGTAATTTCACGGTATAATTGCTCGTTGTGTATGTGCATTAGTATGTATAGTTGATCATAAGAAGGTCCAAGGCTAACTATGGTGGAGCAACTTGGCACATTTGTGGCACCTATGTAGGCTTGGTCTTTGGTTAATTTGTATGTGGGAATCTCTCGTACCTTCATGATATGATTTCAGCATAAAACTCCATCACTTTAATTGGTTGATTGTACGGGTTTTTATCGAACATTTTGGTTGCGTTTAGTTACGGAAAAACAATTTTCATTTTCCGTTTTTTTGTTTTTCCAATTTTCATTTTTCATTGAAAAATTTAGAGAACGCATTTAGTTAAACTTATTCATTTTTCATTTTCAGTTTTAGAAAATTAGAAAACGTGTTTAGATGTTTATTTTTCTATTGTTTTTTATTTTTAAAAAACGGTAGTGGTAGTAGGGTGTGGGTGGGGGCGGTGACGGTAGTGGGTCGGCGGCGGTGGTGGTGATGATAGGCGATGGTGGTGGCGGCATCAATTTTGTCAGTGGTGGTGATGGTGGTGGTGCTAGTGATGGGTTGGTGGTGGTGGTGGTGATGGTAGGTCGGTGATTGTTGTGGTGGTGTTGGGTGTGTGGGGGTGTGAGTGTGTTTGTGTGTGTATGTGTGTTTGTGGGGGTAGGTGTAGTTTGTGTGTGTGTCTGTGAGGGTGGGGGTGGTGGTAGGTGTGGGTTTGTGGGTATGTATGTGTGTGTGGGTTGGTGTGTGTGTGTGTGCGGTTGTGTGTGTATGGGTGGGTATGTATGTGTGTGTGTTTGTGGGTTGGTGTGTGTGGGTGTGTGTGTCTTTGTGGGTGGTTGTGTGTGTGGGTGGGTATGTATGTGTATGTGTGTGTGTGTTTGTGGGTGGGTGTGGGTATGTATGTGTAAGTGTGTGTGTTTGTGGGTGGGTGTGTGTGTGTGTGAGTATGTATGTGTGTGTTTGTGGGTGTGTGTGTGGATGGGTATGTATGTGTGTGTGCGGGTGGGTGGGTGGGTGTGTGGGTGGGTGGGTATGTATGTGTGTGTGTGGGTTGGTGTGTGTGTGTGGGTATGTATGTGTGTGTGTCTGTGGGTGTGTGTGGGTGTGGGTGTGTGGGTGGGTGGGTATGTATGTGTGTTTCCGGAAAACGGTCCATGGAAATAGAATTAGACATTCTTTATAAATTGCTTTTACTTATATATATCTTCGACCACAATATCATATATTTTTAAAGTTAAAAATTAATTAAGTTATTTTTGTTATTTTATTTAAAGAACTCACTGAAAATATTATTCGTTTTGTAATTATTTTTATTATAATTATCTATTTAAGATGATATTTAGATTATTTAACTTTATTTTTGTTAAACAATTTCTCAAAATGATGACTAATTTTCTCTGCCTATAAACCCATATATGAATTTTTTTTGAGAGCATTTTCAATCCCCATTAATGTTTGAAAGATCAATAAATAGTTGTAATATTTTTTAGTTCAATAGTTAGTTTTTGTTTGATAAAGAGCTACCTTAAAAAATATATTAGTTAATGGACGCTAAGCACAACATAAAATTTAGAACTTACACAAAATTTTGAATCAAGTTACTTCAACCCAACATGGTTGTATTTTACATTGGTGAATAAAATATCAAATATAATGTTAAAAGTTTACTAGCAGTCCAAATTGGTCCTTCAATTTTAAATGTATTCATTAGTATTATACAGAATGCTTTAATTGACTATTTATAAAGAAAATAAAATGCATTAATATATAGTATTTTTTAAAATATATCTTCAACAAATTAAGATGCAACTCTAATATTTCTTTAAATCAACAATGGTATCCTTACATAACTTTGTCGAGCGACCTACCAAATTCCTATCCTAGTTCCTAGACGCCTTGGGTCGTTGATGATAAAATCAATTAAAGAGTACATCATAATCAAATCGACAATGGTATCCTTGTGTATTTTGCCGACGGAAAAACCAAATTATTTTGGTACGTCCAAATCACAAATAAGACGATCATGCAAATGGACTCCAAAGTATAGAGGTCGAACCAACCTCACTGATGACAAAGTATCTAACCATAAAAAACAAATCTAATCATTGAGAAGGACGGCACACAACCATCCAACCATCTAGCAATCATTCCCCAAATCTGCACCACAAAATCACACTGGAAAAAGACATGACTATATAACTTTCTCCACTTCATTCTCACAACAAGGACAAAGTAAAGAGTCTATCTCAAGTCCTTTTGACTCCAAACTTATGTCTAGTAGGAATTTGATCCAAACTTATGCGGCAAATGAAGATATTAACCATTATTGACCAAAACAATTCCAATGGTTTTTACCAGAATCCAAGACATCAAAACATCATCTAATTGAGCTCGTATGGAACTCACAAATAAATCACCTGACAGCCCTAAGCTCCAACACCTCGTGTCTCAACCATTAGATAGTTGAACCGCCTCAAGCACCTCCTGTAAAGATTAGCTAGAAATGAACTCAATCAACACCACCTCTTATCCTCCTTCTCAAATCAAAATTCCAAGCACTCCCATCCTAATGCTCCTAAATCAAGGCTTATCTCCTTAAAGATAAATCAAAAATCTAATCAAAACGTGTACATAACCTTTCCGAACCACACCAAACCTCAAGCCAAAAGTTAGTATTTGCTTTACTCCCAGCACCTTTGTGTTGGATTAATGTCTAAGTCCATAACTATTTTGGTATGTACTTGACCCGATGGTGCATGGTCCTTTTGGGTTGCCTTCACCAAAGCAACTTGGTAGGTTAAATTATGGAGAGAAAGGATTAAATATGATTTATTAATATATTATGAGAATAATATATTAAAGGAAAAATCATATTGTTTAATTAATATTAGTCAATAATTAATTGGTAATTAGTTTTGTGACTAAAAGAGATTGATTAAACTTAAGGGACTGAAATTGTAATTATAAGATAATTACAATTTGGGTCATGGATTGCCTTATATTATAAGTTGGACGAATTCTATGGGGGAAGCCCATATGAAATCGTCCAAGGCCTTGACGAAAGGGCTCCATGGGTTGCTTAGGGCTTAAGCATCCAATTTAGGGTTTCCTTGTTAGATAACCCTAATAGCCTTACCATATACATATCCCTTATGACCCAAAAACGTGGCTAAGACTTCTCTAGGGTTTGTAGACGGTTTTGGGCAGCCTCCATCTTCTCTCCTCTTCATCCTCTTGCTTATGGTGTTTGTGAACCATTAGAGGAGTGACATTTGTGACTCTAAGCTTTCAAAAGTCAATACAAGGAGATTTGGGATTGTTATTGCTACATAACAATCAAGGTATGATCTTAAACCTATTCTCATGTTAATATGATTACTTGTATGCTAGAATTAGGGTTTATAGTCTTGGATAACTTGCATGTACAATAGAGAAACCTAGATCCAAACATTAGAGTTTGTACGAGACATAGGATGTTCTTATGACCAAAACCCATAAGTGGTATCAGAGTCTAGACCGGTTTCTATTGTATTAATGCTATACATGTTTGAAAAATTCGATTTTTTGGTTTCTGGAGGCTGGACTCGCCGAGTCCATGCAGACTCGACGAGTCCAAGCTTGACTCGACGAGTCAACTCGTCAGATGGAGCATATCTCGAGATTTCTTGCTGTTTTTGCTTTGGGATAGTTACCTTATCATATTAGATCAATATAAATCCGATTTTATGATATATTTGACTATATTCCTGATCTAATTGAAGATATTTATCAATTAATAAGATAATTGTTTCCTTATGTGATAATTGATTGATTATTTTGATTAAATTGATAAATTGTTTTGCAAGAAATTATTAAATAAATCAAATATGGATAATTATGTGATTAAATGTTAATTTTAGATTATTTGTTATTTGATCCTTATTGTTATGAAAAGTTTCATATTTATCCCTTTAGGTTTTATATTTTAAATTTGAACCCAAAGGTTTTGTTGTTTTGAAATTTAAATAGTTAAAACCCTAATGTTTTGAAAAAGGTTTCAAAACTTGCCCTCAAGTTTTGGAATTTAAATTTTGATTAAAACTTTAATTTTGATGTATATTTAAATTCTAAACCCTAATGTTTTGAAATGTTTCAAAACTTGCCCTCAAGTTTTGGAATTTAAAATTTGATTAAAAGTTTAATTAGGAATGTTAAATTCTAAGACCCTAGTATTGTTTTGAAAAGGTTCAAATCACACCCTTGTGGTTTTATTAATTAATTAAGGTGTATAATTAAAAGATGTTTAATAAATCCATAAAATTTTAGGTTTACAATTTAATTGAATTAAAAGTATAATTGTTAAATTTGACCACCTAGTATTTTAAAAGTACAAAATACACCCTATACTATATATAACATTAAAAGTCTAACATTATATATATGTATGAGTAAAAGTCAGTCTTAACGTTAGTAGGCCTCATTCACGAAGTTGGTCTATAAGGTGTGTTTAAGGAAATTGCCTATAATATGGCAATTGAATGGGTATTTACTCTTACCAACCGCACTCTTGACTAGTGGAGGGTCGTTAGCCGAACGGGTAGGATAGGACGAAACCTTCCATTATAAGTATAATGAAATACAAAGTAACTAAATGTTTTTCAAATTCCCAATATTAGTTACTTAGGCAAAGTGAATTGATGCAATTCCATGAAATTACACTTTGTTCCCTTACGAAGACGTTAGTGGAGCGTGTGTGGTTTACCGGCACACTAAATGGTTCTAAGCAAAGGTAGAAAAGGGTGATTCAATGTTTGTCATAG